TTAAGAATGCCATTCCCTATGGGCCTATTGGGCACATTTTCTTTCAAGCTACCACACAACTCTACATTAGATGGTTTTGCTGCTACTACTGCTGAGCCAAACCAAACATTCACTGTAAAAATTGTAACTAATTCCAGGCAACACATTTCACAAACTAGGGAGGCAAAAAAAAACCCAACTCATTCTAGGATTCCTGTACTAATACTGATACTGAAACTATGTATACACTGATAAAGACGGCAGAGACATTTCCCGTGGATGTCAGCACCTAAAGTCTTAAACAGATACACTAATACGTTGAATCCAGACATGTTTGAAGATAATGGATTCAGTTTAATCTAGGGACTCAATGTTATGTTAATTTTTGAAAGGAAGCATCTGCTTAATAATCTTAATGGACTCAAAGAGAGGGAATCTTCTCAACCAATATGGAAAAAAAAGTTGACAACATTCAAATATTCAGCATGTGTTGTTGCAAAGACATCTGAATAAACTAAGAATAGAATGAATATTCTACAACCTAAGAGGATCAACACCATTCTTAAAATAAAAGGCTACATATCTACATAAAAGAGAAAATGTGCTTTTGACTTGGGGTTCAATTGGAATAACTACTGAGATTAGGTACCTAGTAAGAAACCAGGGGGAAAGGGGATCTTCTAATGAAGGGAAAATAGAGTATAGGGTTAGAGGTAAAGGAGAAATTGAAAGAGGATTAAATGAAGAGTTGGAGGTAGGGTAGAGGAGGGAATATGGGGAGGGAGGACTACACTGAAGACATTTTGAACATCCATATGAAAGCCCACTACTGCAGAAGCTTTCTAAAATATACACACACAAAAGGAATATGAATGGAGTCACCATATAATGGGAGAGACAATGTCCAAACTAGACATCTCGTGCCACCAAGGAAAACCTTCAGTGTTAATGATGGGTTACATCTTGTTGAGTCATTGGCTCACATGGATCCTTTCAAAAATTGCAGCTATTTACACGGCTCTTGGTTACTCTCCACAAGTTGATGGTGAGGCCCTTAAGTCATAGAACATGGAGAAATCAAACTGGTGTCCAACTAGAAGATTAACAAGATTAAAAACTCTGAGCAACTCTAGCCACTCTGACTGAACAAGGGACAAGTAAAAGGGTTCTAATTGCTAGTATCAAGAATAAGAGACGAACACTAGACCACCAAGACAGCTCAGCAAATAAAGGCATTTTCTGCCAAGCCTGTAGAACAGGTTTTCAACCTGTGGGTCTTGACTCCTTTGAGGTTGGATGATCCTTTCACAAGAGTCGAATATCAGATATCCTGCATATCAGATATTTATATTACGACATGTAGCAAAATTACAATTAGGAAGCAGCAATGAAAATAATTTTATGGTTGGGGGGTCAGAACAATATGAGGGACTGTATTAAAGGGTTGAAGGATTAGGAAGGTTGAGCACCGATGGATTAGGGGGTACTCTGCACACTACTGGGTGAGCAAAGTCATCATTCTCATTCAGGTACAAACTTTACTTTCCCAAAAAGTGATCTGCCTGCAAGCTTTACCGGTGCAATAGCAGCACAAATTAAAAGAGAGAAATTACTGCACACCTAGTAGGGTTGCTAAAAGTAGAGTGAACCTGGGGCAGTGATGCATACCCAGTAAGCCCAACATTCAGTAGGCTGAGGCAGGAGGATCACATGTTTGAGAACGTGTCTCAAAAAGACCAAAAGAAAAAAAATGATATTATCACTATGCCACCAATGGAAAGAACCAATATTATGTAACATTCTTAAAAACCTAAAGGAGAGTGAAAACAAGCCAGTTGTCCCAGGCAAACTTAAATCCTTCAAACATCTTCTAATCAAAACATCCAGAATCCTGGATCATGTTATATGCCAAAAAATTCTACTTTGGATATGTGAAAACAATCCTCAAGAACAGCAGTCCAGCTTTTGTGGAGAATGAGTTTTTGTAGTATGCATATGGTCATCAATCTTAACAGTTACCTTTTTTAACAATAGCTTCTGGATATTTTTGGGCAAAGTTTTTAAAAACACAACAATTTCAAGTAGCAGTTGTCATGGCTTGGAATTTCAAGTGACTTCCTCACAGTCTGTTAACAAGCACATCTCTCCTATAGGAAGCTTTTCGGAGAAAGGACAGACAGCTCTCACATCTGTTTCCAATGCTGGGATTGCCTAATGGTTGCATACAATTTGAATATTTACCAAGTCTCAGAAAAGCCTAACTTGTCTTTTATTTAAATATATTTGAAGTATTACATTTGGGGGGAAGTGCTTAAGCATGAAGTGAATAGCATTAGCGAATTTAAATATTTCAAATGTTAACATTTCAAATATTTCAAAAGTCCTTAAATTAAAAACTAGTTACTAAATATAACTGCAAATCACAATATTTCAATGGTGATACTTCATACTACCATAAGTAAGAGAAACTCTCCATAGTTAAAGGAGATAGGATTATAAAATAAGAGAAGAGTAGGGGCTTGGTCTTGAGAGCTGCTGCTTGAACATAGGAAAATTCCCTGTGATAGATAACATCTGTGGGTACTCTGAAAGGAAGGCTCAGAAGTTATTGGCAGCTTTACACCTCAGCAACCAGCTCCACATAATACAGTCACAAATTATAATTTTGCTTTTCAAAATGATGTGATCAAATCTGCTCAAGCAGGTATCCCACATATTCTAGGAAGGGCTCCCCTCTTCCATTCTTCAATGCATATAAGTAAAACCAAGCATTTAGGGAAGGGGTGAAAGATCACACATACACACACACACACACACACACACACAGAGAGAGAGAGAGAGAGAGAGAGAGAGAGACAGAGAGAGAGCACGAGCAGATTGAGGTAGAATTAGTGACTGAGCTGGGAAAGTGTGAGAAAAGGAAAAACATTAGAAAGCCAAACAATACAATCTCAAAAAAAAAAAAAGGCATGAAATTCAATACTCATGTTTTTGAAATATGCAGAGTTTCTGTCATGAAAGGGTGGTCCAACACTTAAGAAGAGTGTTGAGACAGGAAGGAAATTGTGCAGAAGTTCCCTGAAACAGAATCTTTGTGCTCTGTCCAACACTTCAATGTAATAGCTTTGGGGCTTGCCTTTTGTTTCCTGTGGTTTGTTTCAGCTCACAGCTCCAGGCTATCGTCCATCATGGCAGGGAACTCTTGGCAGCAGGAACATAAGAGATCCAGTCATATTATGTCCAGAGTAAGAAGAGAAAAAGCAATGATGCATGCAGAGTAATTCTCAATTGGCTTTCTTGACTCCCATGCAGCCCAAGATCTTCTAAGGAATGGTGCCCCACCCCACAGCAGGGACATCTTCCCACCTGTAATCATACATCCTCTCCACCAGACATGCCCCAAATCCCTCCTCCCAAGACAGTCTATGTTTTGCAAATTGACAGCACTGATCATCAAAGGACTGAACCCACACAGTGGGAGTTCACTCCCCAGCTTGGCAACTTAGTTCTATAGCACTTCAAGGATGTTGTTGAAATATTTGTGCCTTAGTTACTTCATATTTAGAGGACACCACCTATAGCATCTACTACAGAAATTGTAGAACCATATGTACGTTGTTTTATTTTAAGGTCTCCTAATAATACTAGGAAAAGGCTAGGGAGCCACTGAATTCAATAAATGTCTATGACTTTTTAGTTATATTTTATACTTGAATATTCCAAATGACCAGAAATTTGAACTTAAATGGTTACTAAGGAATATGTTTAATCCCCCAAATCACATATCAGTAGCTATATACATAGAAGTTTCCAGTAAATATTAAAAAATTCAGGAATAGGCACTTTGATATTAAATAGAGAAATAAAGCTTCAGGACAAACAGGCCCAAATCCATGGCAAAACAGAGAGCTTCTATTGCCTTGCATGTTGTACTGTACAGTTCTTATGCTACCATGCCTCCATCTTCCATGCACATACCTTTAATGGTCTGTAACTCATGTTATCACTGGGATCTGAGCTGCTCAATGACAACGAAGACCTATAGACTATATGACCACCTCCCATATAAAGACACCATTAAGACTGAGACTCATCTTGCCAAGGTAGCCAGGGCTAAAAACAAAGTCACCAACAGCTGGAAGAACTCCGAGCTTGCAAGTTATGTCCTTTTCTCTCAGAACTTTGCTTTCCATGTTGAAATAAGAGAAGGTCTACATATTATTCCCAGAAATTCTGTGCTTATTTTCACACAACCCATCACTGCTCTCAGACGAGAAGTTTGTCTTCCGGTTCCGGTTCCTAGAGTCTGCTCATGGGCATTTCTATTTCACCTCTGTCCTTGATCTTGTCAATCAACAAAACCTAGGGACCCTGCTCTGAGGACCTGAGGGCCTTTAAAGCGCATGAGGGTCTTCCTGATTCCTAACCTGGTCAGAAATGCCCAGGTCTGCAAGGAATATAGGATGTGCCTGTGAGAGCATTTTCACAAATGATTTGTCATGATAACTGTGATATAATCTCGTGAATTCAAATTTTGAATAGATTATTGGGAGGCAGAGAAACTCTGCATAGTGGAGAGTTTTGATAGGAAATGGGTCACTGTGGGTGCATCCTGGGGGGTTATATCTTGCACTGGTCCCTTCCTGCTACTGCTATGCTGTGCTCTTAGCCCTGGGGTGAATCGCTCCCACCATTAGCTCTCTGCATCACAACACTCTGCCTTATCATAGATCAAGATTCAACAAAGATGAGGACTACAGACTGAGATCCTGTAAGCCATGAACTAAAGTAACCTTTCATCTCATCCTTTCAAGTTACTATGTCAGTCATCTTGCCACAGCAAGAAGGCAGCTAGTGACAGCTCAGACCACTCACACAGGACAATCAAAAAGAATGAGGCTGAAGTTTACACCAAAGCAGTTAAGGATTGGAGATGGAGACAGCTGGCTCCTCAAAGCCATTCCCCTGTAACAGTGCAGAGGACAAGTAGCAAGTTAGAAGAGTCACCACCACACATGATGTTTGATTGTGACCAATTTTATTTTCAACTACATTGTTGGGTACTTTATGGCAAGGCAGAGTTCATTCAACATTTAATTTTGCATATTCAAAAAATTCCCAAAGCAATACTTTTATACAGAACATCTTTCCAATAGTAGTCAAGTTTAGAGATGATAGATACACACTGGCTACATGTTGAGCCAACAACTTTTCAGCTAAAGCAATGGACACAAACTTTGGAAACATTAAATTCTGAGTCCCCGTGTGTGTGTGTGTGTGTGTGTGGCCTCTATGTCAACAAGTTTCATGTATTTGTTGTTTTAGGCACAGCTACATTATAACTGATTTTATGTTCGCAATTTTTGGTATATGATTATGGAAGAGTTCTCAGAATTACCTATGAAAGCTACTCTATCTAAAACATAATGATTTAACACAGGCAACACATCCCATACGCACAATGTAGTTGATTTGTTCCAATCAGAGGTGGGATCATGGATGGCCCTCATCTAAGGACTGAAACAGAAGTTCAAAAGGACTTACAGCTTTGACACATCAAAGAGGTAATCATTTGTGACTATACTGTGTAGATAAAAGACTGCTCGTCTTCAATTACTTCATTTAACTAAAATGTTGAAAAACACTGACTCTTGGATTATAAAGCATTCCGTTAGCATTGCTGTTCGGTACCTTGTTTTATTTTTTTGGTATATCTGCATATTGCATCCAGAGTTACAAATTTCCCACAGTGCTTTCTGCCTCATTCAAGTATAATAAAAGTAGAAATCTATAGAAGCTCTCAGGCTAAACAAACTGTACATCATACAAAAAATTAATTTACAGTCAAAAAGTATTGGCAATGCCCTTTATAAGCTTCAACAAAGACTGATCACAAGGAGTGTCAGAATCTACGTACCTGGTTATCACATAAATACACCGTTTAGATTCACGTGGTACAAAGCAGAGTGGCTGTTAAATGTAGACACTCAGAATCAGCACTTTGTACCACACTGTTTCTGTTAAAGTAACAGTATTGTCTATACTAATCAAAAGTACATGATTTTTTTATTGCATATTTATTGTGGCTGAGAAAGTTAGTTATGATACAATAATACAATCTTCTCAATTATTTTAAATAAACAAAACACTTCTGCTAACAATAGAAAGAATAATTTTTTTCTGAAATCACATAGAACATTGCTACATACAGTTTCAGGCAAATACTGAAAGACATGACCTTAAGGCATCTGCCAGAAAAAGCAGATGTGCGTATTTATATGAACTAAATTACGAAAGAAAAAATATTGCACCAAACTATATTTCAAAATAAAATGTTTCTGTCTCAATATACATAATTCCCTATTTCTTAATTAAATTATAACATCAACTGGCTGCCTTTCTAGACTTTGAAGCTTTAAGAAACGGACAGTGACAGCACTCTGGGCTGGACATGGAAAAACGCTCATAGAAAACCGGGTTTCCAAAAATGACTACCTACATCAGAGATGCTTGGGGACAGACTACATTCCTGAATTTTTATTCTGATCTTCAAATATCGTCTCAGATTCAAGAATCACTGACACCAAACAGTGGGGTTCTCCTGAGAAAATTTTCTCGTGAAAGTGATGAACTTGTCCTGGCAATCTGAGTGGAAAATGAACGGCTGTTGATTCTAGGAATGCCCACAGTCATCTGCCACTGACCAGGAGTCTTTATGGACAACTGCTTCATGGGGACTCCTGAGTCACACCATTAGACATCAGCCTAGGATCCCAACAACACTGTCACTTATGGCTTCAACCAAAAAGATGAGGGCTGTTTTAGAAAATGCTGCTAACAAAATTTCTTTTTTTAATGTAAAAACTGGACTCTCATCAACATGATGGGGCTCTAATCTATATATCCCCTAGGTTACTCCTGAACTGGGGAAGTAGCTGTCCATACTGAAAAGGGACATCATATCACGTGGATAGTCAAAGCTAGGACTCAGCCTTGCAGTGTCTCCAAATCTGTCCTTCAAAAGAGGAATCTTAGCAGCATTCTAGTAACTCACATAATTACCAGAAAAGTGAATGATTCTGTACTTAGAACATACTTATATAGAGCAGCTACTCCTAGAAGTGTCCTTGGTGTTGCTATTGAGCTAGTACCATTTAAGCAAGTACATTCTTACTCTATTTTATTATTATTACTTATTATTATTTCTGTTTTAACATCTACAATTCATTTCCCTTTTAATTGATTCCCCGTGGCTGGATGGTTGTTTGCTTCCTCTCATACCCTTATATCCTTAGATATTATACCTGTCTCTTTGACTGGTACAAAAAGTCAATAAGTATTTTTCTCAATGAAGGAGTCATTCATTTTGAACTGGAAAAAATAATCAGGCTATAATCTGATTTATAATCTGATGTATAGGCTAAATTAGGTAATCACCAAGAAATGCCACTCAACATTTTCACTTTAACAAAACTGCAGCTCCTAAATTTATCCTTCAGTCTTCAGACACCTGACCCACCCCTGACCCACCATGGGTGTAAAGCCTAAGTGAAACTAAAGAGGAGTTGTGGCTTGGTTCAAAGGCATATAAAACTCAAGGTGCTGAAGCCAAATCAGGGACTTATTCAAGTCTCTTGTAGATGGGAAGCAGCTTCTCTGAAAAGCTTATTTGGGAGCTCCAGTTGGTTGGTGCTCAGTATGTAAAATGAGATCACAAGCAGAAAAGTTGACTTGGAATAGCAGGGAGCTTATAAATAGTTGGTTTGGTTTGGGCAAAGCAAAAATACTACTTTTGTTTATTTCAGAACTCAGTCTATTGCCCCTTATGTCTTACTGTAGACACCATTACACTGGGAGGCTGTGTTTAAAAGCTGACTTCCAATACTCAAGATTTTAATGGTGTGAAGCACCAATACTTGCTTCTAGTTTTCTGGACACTTTTCAAGAACAATGTGTACAATTTTGCCTTTTCTTCTTAACATAGAGTTAAGTTAAGAGTTACAGTAAGGCACAGATCACTTTAAAGTGTCTTAAGACATTATTTGTAAGTGGCTAAGTGTTTTCAAATAGCCTAGTGTTACAGTGGAGCATCTCATGGGTTGACTCAAAGCAGAGAACTAGGAATCTGCAGCCATGGGTTTATCACATGGGCTGGAAGCCAGTGTTCCATGCTGCGCTCAGGATTCTGTCATCCTTTAGACAATGAATTCTGAACGGAAAACAGAGACCTCACTTCAAAATTCATATTAGAGGCTCTGCATTCTGATCAGGAATTATGTAGGAATGCTTGCCCAGGAGTGGAATCACCACACTAACTTTTCTTCCTACTAAAACAGCTCTTCTGATATGTGGCTTTCCTCTTATTATTTATTTCAGGAAACTGGGATTAGTGAAGGACATATACAGGCAATATCTGAGAACCTTGAATCATATTATTGTGTAAAAAAAAAAACAAATAAAAAAACCAAAAAAACAAAACGAAGGGTTCCATATATCTTTTCATGAAGACCCTATCTTCCTAAGGACAAGCTCCATCTTCAACTACAAATGAGTGAATAATTACCTCATGTAAAACTATTTATAGTTTGAAATGCAGTTTTTAAATGACCTTCATAAATATTTTAAGCAGTTATGTTAAACAAATCTCCTAAAATTTTAGGTGAAATTATATTCCTGAAGTAAATACTTTAGCGTATGGCCTTGTTGAGGTTAAGTGGTTTTGCAACCATTTTTTTTTTCCCCCTAAAAAGGACATGATTGGGGATGTATAGAATCGAGGCAGGGAAGGAACAAATAAACCATTCCAAACCACCAGTCTGGTGGGAGCAATCTACATATGTTTTCAGATGTGCTCCAAAGCTAAACAGTAACTGGGGGGGGGGGGGGCAAATTCCATAGCAAATTACAAAGGATCTACTCTGATACTCCTCTGCCCTAAATAACTCTGCGCCTGCCCTTCCTTCCTTTCCTCCCTCCTTCCCTCCCTCCCATGCTCCCTCCCTCCCTTACTCCTGCCTGCAACAGAACAGAAGGTGTGGGGGAAACAAGCTTATAGTGGAGAAACCCAGCAGGTGTCAACACTACATGGAATATGCTTGCAGCACACACACACACCCTTTAAGACACTGTGAAAATGGCATTTTACTTCTATGATCTTCTCCCTCAAATCTACAATCCCAGTGTAATAATGAGAAAAATAGACAAATTCTAGGAGCTGGCCCCTGGGCAATACATCTGACCAATATACTTGAAATTTTCAAGGTCATAGAAGTCAAAAAAGTGAAGTGCCAGAGGGAAGAGGAACCCCAGCAGATATGGTAAGTGAATGTAATCTAGAACTCTGAGGGGATAATGGGACAGAAAGGGGACATTAGGAAAAAGCCAGAGTTCTGAATACCATGTAGACTATCAACATTGTGGCAAATGTAGCATACTAACATAGGATACTAACAATAGCAGAAACGGGCCAGGGTAGATGGGAATTTAATACCATCTTTGCGCTTTTCTATAAATCTAGAGCATTTAAAATACAAAGTTAATTATTTAAGAAAGCAAACACAAGGTAAGGCTATGAGCATCTTCATGGCAAATAAGAATAGGACAACTGCTTATTTGTACTCTGCAGGGCATTTGGCTTTCTCGAGGTGGACCACAGTAACCATGGCATACAGAGACTAAGCATTGTCTGAGTGGCTTCTTTGTAAACAGAAGCTTTTAACTTCACATTGTAATTAAGCACTTCATATATTTCACTGAGTGAAAGGTAAATATACACATTTACATTGTTTGCAAAACATGGCTGCAGTGTCTTTATAAAAGGAAATTAGTTCCACTTAGAGAGCATTTAAGCTTGAAAAAATTGGTGAGCTTAATTCTGTGATAGAAAAAGGCATTATTGCTCTGAAAGACAAGATAACTCCTCTTTCAAGATTTGCATGTAGCATCAAACACGATCTGAATGCTTTACATAACTGGAAGATTAAGGCAATTAGTGGGTTAACAGTTTCATCCTATTTTTTTTATCAGTTGTGACATCTTGATCAATTCATGCTCAACCAGATTAGTACAGTAACTACTGGTTAAATGTAGGGGCTACATATGCACACTTAGTTTAAATAAAAGGAACAGCATTAAGCACCAAATACTGGGAAAGCTTATGTTTAAAACACACTTTCAGCCTATATACAAATTAGTACCTGATTTAACAGCACAGTAGAATTCATTTTACAACAGAAAACCAACAGATAATATAGCTCCATGAGATGAACAGATGGGGAAACATTCCAAAGGGAAACAAACAGCAGTAAGAGTTTTCATTCCTATGAGTGATTCTGGTTACTGTACGCATCACAGGGAATAAATTCCACATGTCTCTGAAGAAGCCAAGAGGCAAGCGACTGACCCTTTACTAGTACCCTAAGTTTGGTTTTCACTTCTCTTTTCTTCTGAAATGTTTAGACCTTGTTGGAACTCACTTGACATGTGACACAATGACACTACTTCTTGGAGCAGTCCAGAGTCTTCTGAAGGCTCCTTATGTTCTTGCCCTGCTTTCTCCCAGGGAACAAAGGTAGACTGGCGGCTCCCAAGGCTGGGTAGCAGCAGATGCCCTGAAGCCTGACTTAGTGTTTCCCTCAGCTCTGCTTTTCCTTCACCCATTTGAGAAGCCTTGGGGGAGGCTGGCTGGGAACCCAGTCCTGAAGTAGAAGCTGGCTTGTCCACCACAGTGGTGCTACTCATACTGTCAGCACAGAGGGGCTTGTCACTGTTTTCCTCCTTCAGGGTGAACAGAGAGTCTGTCAGTGCACCAGAGGAAACCCTCTTCCTGGGGGATGGAGGGAGCTGCTTGCCATGGAGGGCGCTGTCGTCCTGCCCGAGATTCCACTCTCCTTGATCACCAGAAGCACATAGTAGGGTTAGGTTATTCTCACTGGGTGCATTGGACTTGTTCTGGGAAGGGAAATGAAAACTTCAGATACTTCTAATAAATTATGGCGATTCTTCAGCAACTTGATTTCTGCCTTGAAAGTGAGGCGCCTATGTTTTAGCCAGGAATGTGGGCACCACCTAGAGCAGGAGCACAGACTGAATTCTGACAGTTCTTGTCAGCTCCATGAACAGGCGTGAGGGGACTGGGGTAGGGACATGACAAACCCTGGTTGCCATGTGTTTAAACTGTCACCTGTCACATTCAAACTGTGCACACAATTCACACTTCAGGTTCTCTGCAGGTGGAATGGGATCCCATTCAGGTACTGCTACCTCACGGTTTAAAAAATCCTTAATTCAGTATATTTAAAACTGCTTACTTTTAAAGTAAGAAAATAGGGGGAAAAGATTTTAACAGACATTACGGTTTTTCTTTAACTCTCTGGAATTTTTTTTAAGGCAGGAATATTTCACATAAAAAGTCTTTACAAGGATGAATATAAAATTAGATGGGAATGTGGCTGGAAAAGGGTGTCAACTAGTGGCACACACTAGGAAAGTGAGTGTGTGAATACTGTGGCAATTTTAGTAGCAGACAGAATTCATAAGATGAAACCGTTACCATAGTTGGAAGTGTGTGTACCTTCCTACCTAGAGGCTAAATGCTTCTATTAATTAAGATCAGGTGACCACAGTGAGGACAAGAGTGTTTTCATTTAACTCTGTAAGAGAAACTCAACTCACCGTAGGTTTGTAATCAATGTCATCCATGGATCTGAAGAAATCCAGGCTTTTTGCAGCTGCCAGCTTTCCTTGATCGGAGCTGTGTGTGCTCAGCGTATCCAGGATCTCTCCCAGCAAGTCCATCTCACCTGAGTAAGGAGCCTTCACTCCTGCTTCAACGGAGTCATCACTTTCATAGAAATAAGCAGATGTTTCCTCACCATCATCAGAAGATACCCTTGAAGGAGATACAAGGTGCAGCAGTAAGCATTTACCCACACAGGATGGGTCTGAACAGCTCACTGACTTCATTCATTCTGTGCTTCAGCAGAACAACAAAGTGAAGCATGTGTGTGTGTATGTGTGTGTGGGGGGGTGTTGCAAGCTTTTAATTCCAGCACTCTGGAGATAGTGTGGGCTACAGAGAGAAACCAAGAAAAGAAAAGGGAGAAGGAAGAGGTAGGGGGAAGGAAGGAAAAAAAGAGAGAAGAAAAGTGGAAAGGAGAGCAGAAAGGGAGGAAAAGAAAATGAAAAGAGTAAAGGAAGAAAAGGGAGGGTAGGAGAGGTTTGAGGACAGGGAGGGACAAAGAACAGAAATAGAAACTACAATGAGTCCTTGGCCAAACTCTACACTTATGCAATATCTATTTCAAATACTAAAAAAACTTGGGCACATGCATTAAGAGCAAATAAATAAAGTCATTAACCAGAAGCCAGACTTTTCATCAGTCTCATTAGACTGAACACTTAAAAAGTTTGCAACATTCCAATTTTACTTTTCATATTTTATATGGTTTTCCTTTTTTTTTGTCTTAGAAAAGAATAAATACTCTCTTATATAGAAAGGGTTATTTAATGTGAGAATTTTATTACTATAGATCTTTTTTTTTTTTTTTTTGGTTTTTTGAGGCAGGGTTTCTCTGTGTAGCTTTGGAGCCTATCCTGGCACTCGCTCTGGAGACCAGGCTGGCCTCAAACTCACAGAGATCCGCCTGCCTCTGCTGCCCGAATGCTGGGATTAAAGGTGTGTGCCACCAACGCCCGGCCGTACTATGGATCTTAAAATTGCTAAAAACTGAAGTTTATATAATTTCCCTATTTTTCATTAAGTAACAAAGTCCCACATTTCTCTCCTGTGATGGTGCTTTCACCTAAGCCTCTCCCTCAGCTCAGTTTGTTTCAAAATGACGGTTATCACCGTCCCTATGTCACCGGTTCCTTTCAGTGCTGGGTGAAAACTTGTGCTCACCTGTGTCACCAATTCTACTCCTTGAAAAACCTCTGTAGATAACTCTGCTTCCCAAGAACAAGATATTTCAAGTCTATCTTGCCTGGACCTCTCCCAAGCTCCACTCTTCATGGTGATGCACAGAGTACCATTTCGGTTTGTCGATGACCATTGTGAGCAAGCAAAACCTGAAGTTTAGTAGAGCCTAAAGACCTGCCAGTGAACCATGCCACTCAATAGGACAACACAGTGCTGCCTGCCAGTGAGCCAGCCACACTACTAGATAGGGCCCCATAGTGCTGCCCTCCAGTGAACCATGCCATTAGACAGTACAACACAGTGCTGAACTCACTTGCTTGCTCGTTCAATGTCATCGTCATCATCGTATAGGGTACCATCAAGGCTCTTATGAGGCCTTCTCAAGTGTGCCTGGAAAGAAAAGTTGACAATAAATTGAGTTACTGATTTAAAATATGTACCCTTAATTATTTTAAAAGGACAGTGTGATTTCATAAGGAGTACTTATGAAAGAAATATGCTTTCAAAGTCTTGAATGTTATTCACTAACCTTTCAAATTAGAACAAGGAGAAATAGAGGCACAGTAGTATTTAAAAAAAGAAAAAAAAAACTCAACACTTTCTAGCTTCTCAAATAATAACTGGGAATAGACACACCCATGAACACTTACAGTTTCTGATGCCAGCACATGTCTGATTTAGTATCAGTCATACATCCACAACGCAATTATCATATAACTTAAGAACTATCAAGAGTTGCCAATTTTATTACCTTCCCACATCCCCCACAAGACATAAGTGTTTTAGAGCATGGTTTCAATTCTAAATGTATACATAAAACTCCTGGTGGTTTAGAATGCCACAAAATGTAGGCTCTGGTTCTGCCTGAATTTCAGCATTTCTGACAAATGCTTAGGTGATGTCAGTGCTGGATCTGAGGAACCTACTCTGAAGAACAAGATCTCCACAGTAGCAGTTTGTCATGTGTACCTAAAGATACCGTAGTACGTATCTATTAGGTGTTGTAAGATGTAAAATGTTTTTGTAGACTGGTTGATTGTATGTACACTGTAAAAGTGGAAATCAGAGAACACCCTGAGGAACTGGTTCTGTCCTATCACCTAGGTTCTGGGAACTGAACTCAGATCATCAGGCTTGGCAGCGAGTGCCTTTAGCTGCTGAGCTGCCTTGCCAGCCCTAGCTATGCATGTTTAACAAGTACTTGTTTTTAAAGCTTTAGTCTATCTTATGAGTATGAATGTTTGTCTGTATATATATGCACCACTGCATGCCTGGTGCCTGCAGAAGTCAGAACTGAGTTATGGACTCTTGTGAGCCACCAAGAAGTTTTGGGGACACAAACCTGGATCTTTCACAAAAGCAGCAAGTGCTTTTACCTGCTGAACCACCTTTCCAGCTCAAAGATTTCTGTTTTACACAACCTAAAACTTAAGACATCTACAAACAAACAACTATTCTTTAATCCTTTACATTATACAGACCATATCCATATTCCCCCCTTTTATTTCCTGGGTCACAAAAGTCAGTGCTGGCTGTGGCTGTCACATCTCCAGTCTCCTGGAGGACTCTTATTTCCCCCACTGTCCTTTGTATCAATTGTGCCTTAGAACATGTTATTTCACCTCATTTCCTGAAGCTAGCAGTTCATGTGGCGGCTTAGAGTCCATTTCTGGCTAACTGCTGTTTGTTTCTGGCAAGCATAAGCCATGGTGGTGACGTGTATTTTCATAGTGCACATTGGAAGGCATGTCATGTCCAGTTTTGATAACTCTAAGACATGGCTTTGGGTGTGGCTGGCCTATCCACTCATTTCAAATTACCTCCCGACATTTGCACTCGATGGTCCATTCACCTATCATAGCCACTGATGGGTCCAGTTTTCATTAGGGGTTATGTAGTTACTATTTTATGGAGTATTCTTTTTTTTTTAATTTGTTAGTGGTTTATAAACAACTTTGCTATTTAGCACTATACCAGCATACAATGTAGACAAAAAGAAAAAAAAAAAAGGAGAGTGAGTTATTGATATGCTCTTTTATCTTCAGAGTTAAGAGCTACTACCCCAGAGGACTCTAAAGGGATCACAACATAAGGTTAAGGTTATTTTTAATACTGTCATGGCTTATACATATTTGGTACATGTCAACCCACCATAGTTTTTACTGGTATTCAAAATATCTCATCTTTGAATTTTGACTTAAAAAGTTCTAAGTTTTAAGATACACATCTTTATAGAGTCACAGGTTAAAATATACACTGTTGGGTTTTTCCTTAAAAATAATCTGGTACAGTGTGATTGGCCTTGAGCTCATCACTGCTGAAGCTATAAGAAGGACATCTGAGGACTCCCAAAATGTCCCTTCATTATTACAGATGTCTAAAACAATTGTAAACCATATGACCTTTGACCCATGTCTTTTCTGACATGACCTCAGAAAAGAACTTTGGATTCACCATGTGGACAATGAGAATCAAAGGCCGAAATTTGGTGTCATGGTTCTGAAAATCATGCACCATCCTTCTGGGTGGTGAACGGTGACCTTGAATTTGCAAGCCTCGGCCACACCCCCTTAAGCAGGAACTTCTTTAATCTCTAGTCCTCAGTGGTTTCCATTTTGCATTATGAAATAAGTCTCTGGGTCTTCTAGCCCATCTGCTCACTCTTGGTGCCAATGTTCCTAAACAGCAGCACCAAGAGACACACACAGAGTAAGCCCTTGTGACTTGTATCTGACAGTAAATCCAGAGATGCCTGATAATTTGTCCAAGTAACATACATCATCCAAAACAGGAGCAGCAATCACAAAGGAAGTGACATCATCTTTTGTGCTGCAGTTCCTGGTACACCAAAATACTTGAATTCTAGAGCGGCCATCCCTTGTACAATCTGTGTAATCCTTGAGTCCCATGACATGAATGTTAAAAGAAAATCTGAGTATATTTCACATTTCCTACCTAGACAGGACTCTATTAACTTCCATAGAGCTGTTACTAACTAGTGTACATTGCAAAAGTTATTCATAAAGAATTTTAGAAATATATGTAGAACTAATTAAGAGCTGTTTTCCTTTTAGTGGCTGTTAACGTATGTCTAATGAAGACACTATAGCTATTGCTGGTGTCTGCACTGTCAGCCCTCGTGCGCTTCTGAGTGTCTATGTGCTATCCTCTGGACTGGTTTTTGTCTCATCTCACGGGTGCCTTCATTTCTGCATGGCTGGCCCTGCTCTCAACTTGAGACATGTGGGAAGACAGAACAGAAGAATTGCCTTCATCAGATTAGCCTGTGGGCGCATCAGGAGGGGATCCAACTGCTAATTGATGCAGGAGGGCTTTGCCCACTGTGGGCAGTGCCACTGCTGGACAGGTGGACTTGGGCTGTTTAAGAAGGGTACCTGAATGCTGTGTAATATTACTTTAACTTGGCAAAGATATGTTCATTTGTTTATGTTGTGGAATATTGCTTTAACTATGTAAAGGTGTGCTGCATTTCTTTATGCTTCTATTGTTTAATTATGTAAAGAAGTGTTCCATTTGTTTCACCTTGCTTGCCCAAGGCACCTGATTGGGCTAATAAAGCTGAACAGCCAATAGCTAGGCAGGAGAGGGATAAGTGCGTCTGATGGGTACAGAGAATAAGTAGGAGGAGGAATCTATGCTCGGGAGAAGATAATGAGGTAGGAAGAGAGGGAGATACCTGGGGCCAGTCAGCCAGCAGACCTGGGGTAAGACATACAAAATAAAAGACAGGTAAAAAAAGTCCCAAGGCAAAACACAGATGGAGAGAAACAGGTTAATTTAAGTTGTAAGAGTTAGTGGGACAAGCATAAGATAAGGCTGAGCATTCATAACTAATAAGTCTCTGTGTCGTTTTGGGGGGGGGTTGCTAAGCCCTGCCTGGAATATGACAGACTCTGGAGATCCCCCATGGAGGGCCTCACCCTCCATGGGGAGCAGAGGAGGGATGGGAGGGACGTGGGGGGTTGGGGGGGGGGGGCAGGGAAGTAGGGGAGGGAGAGGGAGCTGGGATTGAATTGTGAAGCAAGCTTGTTACTAATTTAAATAATAATAATAATAATTAAAAAAGAAAAGAAGTCTCCGTTGTCATGATTTGGAAGCTGGTTGATGCCCCCCCCCAAAAAAAAGCCTGTTACAACTGACTGTCTGCTTAGGAGCCAGCCTGGAGGCAGTATTCCTTTGGGATTCTGCTTATAGCATCTCCTGAGCTCATACCTTGGCTTCTCTCAGGATAGACTGTTACCTGTAAGTGGAAACAAACCTTGGCTCTCCAAGTTGTGTTTCGTTCAGCACAGCATCAACTGACTTCAAACTAGAACACTAATTAGCTCAATAAAATATGCCAGGATTTTATTCTTTAATATATAGACTTATCCTTTGGAGTATGCAGTTGATATTTCCTGAACAAATGAACATCTGTGTATATAATAGCAGGTAAGTTCTTTTCTTATTTAGGGTTACTACTGCTGTAGTGAAACACCATGATCAAAGCGAAAGGGTTTTATTTGGTTTATGCTTCCATATTTCTGTTCATTACTGATGGGAGTCAGGGCAGGAACCTGGAAGCAGGAGATGATACAAAGCCACAAAGGAGTGCTGCTTCCTGGTTTGTTCCTCCTGGCTTGCTCAGTCTGCTGTCTTAGAGCAATCAGGACCAGTAGCCCAGGGATGGCACCACCCACAATGGGCTGGCCCCCAATCAATCACTAATTAATAAATGCTTCACGGGCTTGTCTGCAGCTGATCTTATGGAGACATTCTCTTCACTCAAGTTCCCTCTTCTCAGATGAGTTTAGTGTGTCAGGCTGACATAAAATCATCCAGCACAGTTTTGTTGAGTATTTAACTGGCTGACACCGGTCTCTTCGTTGTTTATAAGGGGCATTATGTCCATTCACTTTCACTCTCTCAATGAGGATTAAAGAAATTCTGTGATATGTATTAGGCTACACGGTGGAGCATCACAATGAACAAGAACAAGGCTTGTGTCCTTGTGGATGTTAGTCTAGTAAATACAAACTAAACTAACTCTAACAATCACAGTGATCCGCATAAAAGGTTTGACTCAAATTAGCTTCTACTAAGCTATCAATGCCACGAAAGATCTTACTAGGAACTGATCTAATCTGAGAGCAAAAGGGATCCCTTCCCCCCCCCCCCCCCCCCCCGGCTGTGCTCTGAAAGGTCACAGCGGTTAAACAGATGATGAGAAGAGGCAAACAAAATAACACACCAAGTCCCTCCATTGGGACAACCAGGGGAAAGGTGAGAAAGTGCACCACAACTTCTGGTTTGCAGTCCTAAGACCTTGCTTTGGTACTCCACTGCTTTCTGGACCATTAAAACTTGCAGTTACCCTTTTGCTCACTAGG